CGCACGCCTTCTGTCTGTCATTGAATTGTTTGATGTCTGGAATATATCTCCTAATTATATCCATTTTAGTTCTTCTAATTTGATCTATAATTTTGATTACTTCTAACGGACAATGAATTTTGAGTGTGATTTAAAATATATAATTAATTGTTCAACAATTCTATCATCTTTTATAACGTAAACTAGAATTTAAATTAAACTATAATTTGCTTAAATTTAATGAACATTTTAAAACTAAATTAAAAGTAATATTTATGAATTAATAAAACCAATAATTAAATATACATTTTTTAGTGTCAATTTTTTTTGTAATGCTTTACTTAAAACTATTATCACATCAATAACACAGACATCTTAATAGACAAGTAATAATTTATTTATTATTAAATTATAAACTTATAAATAGGCTTTAAATATGTGGTGAAATTTTAAGTTTTCAAAACTCATTTTGTGTGTAAATAATGAATTCAATTATATTTATAACGAAATAAAATGAAAATTTTTCAATAATATGAAATACAATAAACTAAATACAAAGAAAGCAATGGTTTATCGTTTAGTTAATTCATTTGATAGCGAAATGTATCCAAAAAGAGCACAAGAGGTGACAATAATGGCAGTTAAGGTCACAATTATGAACAAAATAATGGCCAAAGTCTGGATCAAAGTGTGAAAATTCTTGTCATTAGATCTCTTCAATAGATTACTGCTTTCGTTGACATTCATTGTGTTTGAGCTCTCATTGTCTGGCATTATATCCGTCACTTGATGTCGAGTGACGCCTGGATTAGCTGTCGATGTCGTGCTTTTATGGCTAGAAATCACGGTCTGATTCTCGGAACTCAGTGTCGATGAAGTAGTCGACACTTGTGTGACATTTGGTGCCGAAGTTGTGGTCACTTTGCGTCCGACATCGCAACTGAAGAATTGCCAGTAGTTTTGCTTCTGTTAAACGAAATCAAAATTATTTAAAAACAATTTCTAATCAAAGAAAAGATTATAATAAAAATAAATAAATGACTGACAGTATCGGCGAAAGTATTGACTCCCGAATAGATCCACACTTTATTAGACACAAAGAAAAACGAGTCATTTCTGTGGCGAACGCCTCCATTGCCTGTGATTCGTGTGTTCGGAGGATTAGACAAATCTGATTCCGTTATTATGTTTTGTGGTTTAGTGTCGAGCACTTCGTATTCAAACACTTTGTCCACAGAAAACATATGAATCGACTCCTGGAAGAGGCCGTCTTCCAGAGTGAACACCACTCCATCCACTCTATCGGTGATCTTCGCGAACAGATTTATGACCAAACGGTCGCTACTATTGGATGCCATCCACGGGACTGACGGGTCGTACGTCGAAACGAGTCTAAACTTATTCTCGTCGAGTCTTCTGAATATGAGGAACGAGTCGCTGTTGAAGAGGAATGTGGTGTTCGTCGGATCAAAGTTGTGATCACTGTTTCGGCACTTCTGAGACGACACACACTTCTTGTGCTTAGAAATGCCGACTCCGGCGTTGAAGCTCTGGTCACTCGGTATGCCTTCATAGACGCTGACGAGGGTTTGTCGATCACCCGATTGAGTCCACACACCGGCGCTCTCGTCGTACTTCAAGATCCAAACGCTATGAGGCTTTCGGAAGGCATAGACAGTGCCGTCGAAATCATAGACCGCATCGATTAAGTCGCCGCTGTTTTGGTACTGCTTTTCGCAAAACTCTTCCGACACTATCGCTGACAATACACTGGAGAATACAATCGTTACCACTAATTGTCTAATCATTGTCACAGTATTTGATGCTTTAATTAGCGATAAATAAAACTCTTGAGATCTAATGTACAGTCAAATGGAAATAAGAAATAACAACGGATTGACATTCAAATAGAAATATTTAAATCGTTTTTAATAAGTATTGTTCGCACGGACTATAAGTTTATTGCATTTGTCAATAGTTTTTAATTGACATTTTTTTACTAAATTAAAAGTTTTATTACACAACGAATATATAAATTAATCAAAATATTAAAACTAGAACATAAAATGTTAATTTACATTAAAACAAATTTAAAATTACTTTACTAAATGAATTTAATAGTTAGTTTGATTGGGATTTGAAATAAATTTTAATGAATTAACCAATGAATGAATTATGTGTTAACTAAGCATCAGTTGAATCTTCGTTTAGGTCTTCGTTTAGGCCTTCGTTCTTGAATACAATATACATATCTTTCGGCAAAAGAAAAGTAAAGGCCGTCAACAGAGCGGCGAATACAACGACAGCGCAAATAATACCCGGATATGGATTGAAGTTTGCGTTTTGGGTATTACTCGCGACCGCTTCGGTCTCGTTGTCCACCATTTGGGCCTCAATCGGGACAACACTTATATTCGGTTCCCTCTCTTCAAAACAAATGAAGCCATCCTTCAGTTGTTGTATTGGATCCAATTGGCCGACAATATCGCCATTGATTCGGTTCACTGTCAAGACATTCATTTTCCTAAAGTCAGTGCCGCTGTATAGATATAATTCGGTTTTGGTTTGCGTGGCGTTCAACTGATCCATTTGGTCCATCATAAGCATCTGCGAGGCGTCGATCACTTGATTGTTAAACAGATGGCTGGAGTCGATGGCCGGAAAGATGCGGACGCTATTGCCTTCGATGGCATCGCAAACGGATATCCATTCAATGACTGTATATTTCTTCTCTCTAAACACAATCATATTGTTTGGCGTCCAATCAGTGATGGCGTCGATTCGCATCTTGTCGTGAATCGGAGACAATATTTTACTCAAGAGTTTATGGCTGTTGAGCGATAGGCTGGTCGGCGACCACTCTCTTCTGATCGGTGAATAAGTTCTGTATTTGTCTGAATGGATAGCAATCAGATCCAGCGATCCGTTGCCGCACTCGGATGTGTCTAAGAAGAAGGCGGCGTCCACTTGAGGCATGTCTTGAGGCAATGGTTTCGGTTCCATCTTTTCCATCAACTTTACGAACCAATAGTTATTGTTGTGAGACATGAATGAATAGACCGACACATCCATCGCATCCGTTATGTTTGGGTCCAAAATGTTGTGCTTATGAATGGCCAGAGCTGTCGAGTCCATCACAAAGCCTGTATCGCATGGACTCATCCCATATGTCATATGAATATGATTTACAAATAACAGAATAAATACTTTAATTGACATTTCCATCATTTGATCCACAAATAGCTGTTTTGTCGTATAATTATATCTTCAATAAAAATGAAACCAAAAAATTGAACTCAAAAAAAGTCGTTAAAAGTCGTCAAAAAGTAATGCAAATAATAGTAAATTCACGCGATTTTATGAAACCGTAAATGAAATGAAAACAGAATTGTCTTTCGCTTCAAATGAATTGCAATTATTTTTGTATTCGTTTTTATCGCAAGAAATTCAGTGATAATTGAGTTGTGAATTGATTTTGTGGTCAAAATGCGTAAAAAGTATCGCAAAGACTCTTTCAGTGATCGATTCGGTGATGATTTGTGTCAGGAATTGTTGTCTTATCTCTCACTCGAAGACAAATTCAGATTTGAATGCATTTCAAAGCAGTGGCAAAGACTAGTCTTCGGGAGACAAACGGATCTGACATTTGTTAGCAAATGGTTGAGTAAACCACGGATTGGTCACGTAATTGAGTCAATTGGGATGAAGTGTCGCAAATTGTCATCCATTAAAAGGGCGTGCGATCGCCTTTTCGACGCCACAGCCATCCATCTAATGACCCAACACTTCACTCATTTGACAGCCATTGACACTGAATTCTTGGGCCAAATTGGTGTCACTAGTATTGACCGGTTTTTCGCTAAATTTGCGAAACAATTGAAATCAATTAAAATTTATGGTTTCAATGGAAGTGTTAATAACGAATGGATTAAGAAATGGATTGAAATGTGTGGTAATTTAGAGTCAATAAGTTTCTCAGTGTATTTCTACCCGACATTACAATTGGTGACCGAAAGCCGACTCACGTTTAAACGGTTCAATAGTATCCACTTCGACCTCACGGAGACTTCTGATCACGTTATTCAGCCATTGGATGCGTTTGCGGACAAATACGGCCACCAAATGAAGACAATACGCATCACGAGTAACAACGAGATTGCGTCCCAAATGGTCGATCAACTATTTGCTTGTTTGCCACGAATGCGGGCATTGGTTAAACTTAGTCTCGAAATTCCATTGTTTTCTCAACCATTATCTCCATTATTGACACAAATTGGTATCAATTGTCGGCGACTAAAGAGTCTTAGTCTCGGAGATCAGGAACTGACACCACAATTGATTCATACGATTAGTGAACACTTTATGGCATTAAAAAGACTAACGATTTGGGGAATCGATGTCTCGGCAAAGCCGCTGACCAGCCATTCATTGGCGCCATTCAAACGGTTAACACATTTAGAATTATTGACAAAAAGGAAAGTAACCTCTTTTACGGACGCATTCTTCACTAATATTGGCCACAATTTGCCAAAACTTCAGTATTTGGACGTAAAGTTCGTGAAGATTAGCGACGAGTCGTTGATATCATTGTCTGGATTGAGCCAAATCCGTGGCATTACTCTCACCGGACATATTGAACGATATAAGTGGTCGATGAACGGTAAAAGTGGAAATGCAGTCAATAATCTCATCAGTCATTGTCCCAAACTTTGTTTCATTCGTTTCCGATTACATATTGAACGATATAAGTGGTCGATGAACGGTAAAAGTGGAAATGCAGTCAATAATCTCATCAGTCATTGTCCCAAACTTTGTTTCATTCGTTTCCGATAGAGAAGTTATTTAAATGTTTTATTTGTTAAGTATTTAATAATTTTACATTTTTTGTATTCAAACCCTTAGAATTTTATATACAATTTTATATTATATTTTTATTTTATTATACAATACTTATTGTACTTTACTTTTATTTACAGATATTCTTTAAAGATGTTTAAACTGTTATTTTTATAAGAAATGTATAAAATTAATTTAAAAAATTGTTTAATTTATAATTTATAAACTATTTGTAAACTCAATACAAAACAATGTAAGAAACGTAAATTAAAAGTCTTATTTTACATCAATTCTCGCGATATTTAAACATGTTTAAAATAACTATAAATAATACTATAATTTTAGATTTGGTATTTTATTTATCAATTTGTTTGACTTGTTTTGATCTCATAATGAATGAGAAATATTTAATATTGTGTTTAACTATAATTTCTGTGATGTTATCCACTGTTATGTCTTTGAGGAGAAATTATCACAATTCACACGAAGACATGGATTATATGAGACGATCACGAGTTCAGAGACCAGAAAATAATAATAATTCAAATTTTATAATCTTTTCGTTGGTTTTGCTGACAATTCTGTTAATAATAGTCTCTGTAATCGCTTTTTACGACAAAATAGATTTGTCGAGAATTGCGGATCAAATTAATATTCTTGAGTGTTGTTCACAATTAAAACAATCAAAACTATCCGTCGATTGTCTCAAAAAGTCTGTTTTGGGACAAAACACTCCTAAATCACAACCGCTTTATCAGAGATTACCACAAGAATCTCCGGAATTGAGTCCAACAAAGACTGACACTAAAGAGTCCTCAAAACGAGACATTGATATCGAGAAGAATATCCAAACAGACTCTCAAGATATGAAAGAACCGAAAGGAAGAACCAATTATTCTGATGCCAAAAGACAATCAAAGAAACCAGAGTTTGATATCATTAACGCGAGTCCTTCCAAAACATCTTTGAATTAAAGTATATTCAATTTATTTTGAATAATTTGTGTTAAAATTTTATATTTGTATATTTCGTAATTAACATAAAATTTTCAAATCCTTTTTCTCATAAACTATATCAACAATAATAGTAAATACAAAACAAATAAATAATAAATGTAAAGTTATTTGCCTCCTTTATAAAATCTCGCGACAAATAACATAAAATTAATTTAAAAAATTAGTTCAGAAAAAGAAACCATTATTTAGTAATAAATTAAAAGAATGGATAAGTTATTGAAGATTAGCCACACTTTGATTGATTCAGAAGAGTTCGCTTCACTGAAAACGAGTCGACAATGTCTTGAGTTTGCGTTCAGTAAAATCGACTCAATCCAAGTGTTGAGAGAAAAATTCTGTCGATTTGTGACGAAACACAGGAATGAGAACAAGAAATCTTTGGCCAAATCTCAGAGATATCGCCGCAAAGGAAACGTATTCTTCGAGAAGAAAATCTATGAATACGCTGTCTATTGGTATAATCTGGCGGTGATGTCAGCGCCCTATCCATCCGATTCAAGTCTCGACAGAGATAGTGAGCTATGCTTTGCCTACACATCGCGTTCACTGGCCTTCTATTGGATGGCCGAGTATTCAAACGCCTTGTTTGACATCGAGTGCGCTCTTCAGTTGTCGGTCTCTTCGCTAGCCTTTCGCCAAAGACTGGAACTCATGAAACATAAGATCATGTGTTTGTGGCAATTGAACAGACTATGGGACGCCATTGTATTGATTCAGGCCATCATTCAAACGGTTCCGTGTCTTCCGGCTTACAATCCATTGGTCGCACATCTCATCAAATTGAAGGAGAAGTTGTCTGATCTCAGACTCAATCAGTCCAGCGATGACACTGAGGACAACATTGAGAGCGATTATGAGCTTAATTTAGATTACTGTCAAAAAATCGACAATTATATGAGTCCTAACATTGACTTACATGAGGAGGAAGTGAAGGGACGCCACTATAAGACCAATGAGACAATTGACAAACAGAGCATCGTTATGGTCGAGAGGTCACTAACGGGTGTCATATTTAGGGAATACTACGGAACCCATTGTCAGAATTGCTTCAAAAACATTGGTTACAAGTATTGGCCGTGCGTTGAGTGCATTCAAGTTGTGTTTTGCGATGAGAAGTGCGCTCAAGAGGCCAACCATTTCCACAAATACGAGTGCGGCTTAGCCTCCATTATCACCAAAATTACGGTCAATAATCATATTGGCCGTGCGTTGAGTGCATTCAAGTGGTGTTTTGCGATGAGAAGTGCGCTCAAGAGGCCAACCATTTCCACAAATACGAGTGCGGCTTAGCCTCCATTATCACCAAAATTACGGTCAATAATCATCTCTTGTATCGCATTCTTCTACTAATTGGTCCGCATTTGGCCATTGATTTGGAAAAGCGAAACAAAAGCCATTTAGAAGTATACAAAGATCTGGACGACAACGGCATCCGTTATCTGAAGTTTCTTCAACTCCAGGACCACAGAAGTCGATACAATCTGAAACACCGGGTCTTCTCAGTCATGCATTCCATTCAAATGGCACTCATTTACGACACTTTCGACGACTTCAGAGCCAGTGCTGAGGAATGCGAGACATTTTTGGTCGATTTGGGAACTGTTTTGGATTCACTTCACTATAAGATATGTGTGAATGCGTTCGGAATGTATGAGAATCGGTGCGAATCGGTGTCCTTTCGCGGCCAACACATCGGAAACGCTGTCTGTTTTATGGCCTCTCTTTACAATCACAGCTGTTCTGGCAATTGTTTTTGGGTTTTCAATGGACGGCATATCACTGTCGCCACCAGAAGTGCCGTCAAAGCCGGCGAAGAGCTAACCATATGTTACGGACCCAGCATTAGGTACAATGATTGGGATGAAAGGCAACAAATGCTCAAAACTCGTTATCACTTTGAGTGCAAGTGCTGTGAATGCGATGGTCAGCCCAAACCTGAGAACCAGGCCTTAAATGCTGGTCAACCCGATGCCAGTCTATCCGGCGATTGCGTCTGATATCCCAGAAATGTATCCAAAAAATTGAGTTAAATTCTGCAAATATTTATTTTTAAATCCAAATTTGTAATCAATAGTTTAGTTTTGTTTCCATTTCTTATTCAATAAATACATTTAAAAATGATTTTTTATTCATTAAACTGTTTTCACTGTTCATGAAGTTTTAATTACTGAAAATAATTTATTTGTTTAGAGAGTTTTGGCTAATGTTTAATCGAAATTCTAATGCTTAAATTGTATTATAATTTTAGATATATGTTAAGATTTAAGTTAAAATTAAAATTATTACATAATTTATTCGAGAATATAATTTATAAATTATGAATTAATATTAATAGATATTTTAAACTAATTTTTAGGGTTAGGGTTATTAATACAAAATAAATAATATTACAACGACACTGTGGTTGCATAAAGTTGCACATTTATGTTAACCATTTTTAATTAATTGTATTTTATTTAAGTTTTTGATAAAATTAATTTGTAGACTTTTTATCATTATATGATAAAAACCGTACAAAAACAGTTCGCATTTTGAATATATATTTTCCTATTAGTTAAATGTAATATTTAATTCTTGATAAATACTAGCATTAAATATAATATTCTTGTATTAAGATACAATAAATTGTTTATTTATTCAGATATTCCTTATATTAAAGTCTAATTAAACTCTTTTTGTGAATTTCTATATTTCATGTCATTCTTGAGGCCATCTATATAATAAGTAAATTAAGTAATTTACCATGATAATACTATTTTAACTAGCACATTATACATTTTATCGTTTTAAATAACTATTGTTAATAAAGTACATAAACGACAACTAGTGCAATTTAAGAACACTATTATAGGAAATATATTATATTGTACATATTTATATAAAAAGTATAAGTGTTTTTATTAATTCAATGATATGTGAGGTTTGTTGCGATAAAATGATCAAAAGGGGAGAGAAATATACTCAAGAATATTGATTTAAATGACAACTTATAAAACTATATGTGCCAAATCGAGCCTTCAATACCTGTTATCTATACATACAAGTATTAATTTATTATCAGTTTTGATTCAATTGTATTAGTATTGACGGTTTACTCTCGTTTTAAAACACATTCAAATTATTAAAAATAAACAACAAAATTGGACACAAAACACAAACATTTTGCACAAATAAAGTTCTGGCTTTGATTACGAATTATGTTAACCAATGTATGTCAATATTGCACAGAATTACAATAATGTATAACAGAATTGTAGATCATTTTAGTGTCTATATTATCGCAGAGCAAACACTGATCTCAATAATTTCACTCTGATTTGTGAACTAATAATCAGATTTAACAACACTTTTCGACGACTATATAACCATTTCATTGATTTTCATTTCATTTAGATTTCATTGAATCACTCGAAACATGAATCCACTTAAAGGTATTCAAAGATTTCACTGTCTTTTTCACAATATATTTTATTAAACATAAAAATGTCTTATTCTATAGGTTTAGTCGTATTCAGTGCTCTATTTGTGTCAGTTTTGGCCGACTGTCCCAATGTTAAAGACGCTGACATCGCTCCCTGTGTTTGTCTCACAAATCAGATCCGATGTGAGGGCCCGACAGTGACGGACGATGTGTTGAAAGCCGTTTTGGCCAAAGTAGATAAGGCCAGACCTAAATACCTCAAAGAACTTGAAGGACTTGAGCTCTACAACACCAAAGTCACCAAAATTACTACTGAGGTCTGATATAATTGTAATTTCCATAAGAAAAATGTATTTATAATTGCATTTAATTTCTAGATTTTTGGAAACTTGGTTTTGAAGACATACATCAAATTAAACAACAATCCCATCACAAGTCTATCATTGGGTAATTTCCCAGATCTGGTGCTCTTAGACGCGGCCAACAATAAGCTATCGACCGTCGCTTCGAGTCTGTTCTTCGGTCTCAAGAGTTTACGATACGTTAATTTGGGCGGCAATGAGATCGTGGACTTCCCGAAAGACACGTTCGCTCTGTCGGACAATCTTCAGAGACTGGACTTAAGCGGAAATAAGATCAAGCGATTGAATTCGGATCAGTTCTCGTCGGAGTATCACAACAACATTGAACTGACAGACATTGATCTGTCCAACAATGAGTTGACATATTTGCCCGAAAATATCTTTTGGCCGTTGAGAAGACCCCAGAGAATCAATTTGGCCAACAATAAGCTGAGCGCTGGCCTCGAAGTAAATTCGTTGAGCTTCGGCGAAGACCTGATCCAATTCGAGCCAATCAAACTCATCCTCAGTAACAACGGATTTAAAGACTCGGACCTCACGGACACCACATTCGCGCCGATTGTCCGCCAAAAGTTGGCCATCGATTTGGATTTGACTGACAACGCGTTGACCGATAAGAGCGATGTTGTGCTCAACAAACTCCTTAAGGCTAACTCGCGATCAGTGGTCACCAAGAAATAAATTCATCCACTCTTTGTAAATTAAAATATTATCATGTGTTTTATATTATACTTAAGATCGTCTATAAAAAAAATACTTTTATAAAATAAATTACAGATTAATATACACAATAAAAATGGTTAACAAAAAATAAGATTAAATGTTAGTAAATGTTAATAAATGTCTAAAACTTGACAAAATTAATTTGTCCCAAAAATAGTATACAGAATAAAATGATCACTAAAATGGACACAACTCCTGAGGCACGGATGGGAATGTTGATCATCTTTGCCTCCATTCGGATATTACTGGTAAAGAGGAGAAGTGAGTCGAGATCTTCTTGAGGTGTGTCCTGATAGCCGAAAGGACGCGATCGCAGCTCATGTCCGATACGTCTCAAGCCTTGACAGCAATTGGTTAGTCGGACGGCTTGAACGATGGGAACCGATAGTAAGGACAGCCATAATAGTGATGAGATTAAAACCATTGCCGCTATTTTGACATCGTTTGTGACTACTATTTGTTGAGATAAAAGTCCAAAAACAGCGACAACTGCTCGACAGCCGAAATTGATGATCAGTAGCGACACTCCCAACGCCTGCTCTGAGTTGAGATACTCCACAAACTTTCGCGACTCACCCGACCTTTTGCTGAACTCCTAATATAACAAATTTAATTAACAATTAGTTTATTATATGATAATTAATGTGAATTATATCTAACCTGAAAGTCAATGCGCTTCTCTCTGACGGCTGAAACCAGATTACAAATGTATGATATGTTGAGCTGACAGTGGACTGAATAACTGGTGACAATCGCCGCGCATATGATGTCATTCCAAGTGAGAGATAATATTGTGAACGCAGTCATGATTCTAATGAGCGTCTGGTTGTCGGTGTCCATCCATGTGAAGCACATCTCTTGAAACAGTGTTATATGAATCGTGTGACCAATCAGTGACACCGCAACCCACGTGACGGACATCCAGAGGAATGTACGCAAATTATGGACCAATTTCTTCTGCGCTATAAACCAGCCGTTAATACGCGTGGACTGAAGGAACGCCCGCTCCAGAAGGTTCTGAAGGATCTCACACTCAGGCGTTCGCATCAAATAGAAGACAAATATGTAGGCGAAGAAGTGCAACAAATCCGGGATCAGGTAAAGGCTGATGAAATTTCCCGAACATTTCACCGCATTTCCCGAATTTCTGTCCGAATAGGTATAACTAGTGGCCGACAGTTTCAAGCGATTCGCGGATCGATTCTCATAGGTATTGGTGAAGAAGTGAGGCATCGGAGAGGACGGCGCCAACCATTTGTCGCTTTTGGTAATCAATTGATCGGTGGTTTGGTTACGATATGGCGGATAACCGTCTTGTCTGAAACAGGAGGCGTATTGCATGACATATCCGACCACAAGAAATAGGATGACTAGCGATAAGTAAATGGCGTTAAATATCTTTGCAGTACACGTGACCTGCGGTGCGATCGGGTATATGAGTGGTCGCCAACCCAATAGTGCCAACAGTCGGAAGTACGGCTTCAACACCTTTCGCTTACATAAGTGAAGGGCCACTGAAGTGGACTCTTGGAGATCAGCTTCGGACACATTCTGATAGTTTTCGTCCAATTCCTCGAACCGGTCGTGTATTTCTCGGGCCGATGTCTCCAATTGCATAGAAATGGCCAAATATGGAGTATTGGTTCCCATTGTCTCTATGGACTCATCATTGGACTCATCCGAACACAGACTCAACCTTTTGTTTAAATTCAAACACATAATAATTTTTGCTAAATATAAGCAAACATTGAGTTTAATATCTGATAAGAGTTTTTTTAATTGAAAGTTCAGTTATCATTGGACTCATTTGAACACAGACTCAACCTTTTGTTTAAATTCAAACACATAATAATTTTTGCTAAATATAAGCAAACATTGAGTTTAATATCTGATAAGAGTTTTTTTAATTGAAAGTTCAGTGAATTTTTTCAACTATTTTTGTTGAATAAAAAATTAAGTTTACAAAACTTTTTATACTTTTTACATATTAACAGTATTTTAAACTTTTAATTGGTTTACAAGTATTAAGTGTTAAATATTTGTAATGAAAATGTATAACTTATATCACTTACTCGTTGTTACTATAACTTCATTATTATTATTCTGCAATGTATTAAAAAAAGGGAAGTCTTATCGCAAATGATAAGATTGTCAGTAAATCTATAAAAAATGTTTTAAAAATAACACCAATTAATAAATGCGTACAAATTTATAACTTTGAAAGTGAAATAATAAATATTTTAAAATTAATAAATTTAATAAATAACGACATTATTTTAGTTTTAAAATCTGTTTTGTAACAAAAAATAAAATCAATTTTATATAACCGGTAGTTTTTCTGGAGTTAGTCTTCCGTTAACTGTCAGACAATAGTTAATAAAGATTTCTTGACAACAGTATTGAATGTTAAGGTTATCGTAAGAGAAGTGCAATAAAAATACTGTGTTATGAAATCATTAACCCATACAAAGTTAATCGATGTCTTAAATCCAATGTTCACTATAACAGCTATATTATCAAATAATAACAACAATAATAACCATAATTTACTTTTAAAAATCCTTAAATTATGCATTTATTTATTCAAACAAAATTAATGATTTTACAAAATAATAAGTATTTACTAATAACTAATGGTATAATTTACACCTAAAAACTTAAAATTTTCATTTAAATTTACATCGTTGTTGCATATTTTACAACATGGTATGTGTTATCCATACTACAAAATATAGTTATTAGAACCGTAATTGAAATGCTAATTTACACGTTTAGTTTATTTTTGTAATATTTAAATTTATAATTATTGGTATTGAAGTTCCGCATAAATTAGATATTCATTGACATGTCTTCCAATGTTTGATATGAATTAATTTAAATGACATTTCTAAATACAAATTTTATTCAAACTTTTAATTAACAATAAATACAACACATTATAAAACCGAATATTAATAATAAATAAATTTATACATAAAATGAAATGTTATGATTTACTAGAAATTACATTTTAATTTGTAAATTAATGAATAAGAAAATAAGCATTCAATGGATTTGCGAAAATAAAAACAATTTTTCATTTCGATGTGTACTGTATATCACAGAATGACATAAAAGCGAAACTAAAGCATACGTTAATATAAATAAAATCATAAAAACCATAGTTTTATGATAAAAATTACTTTATTTTGTGATGAATTTGTGAACCGATTTGGCATAAAAATTTAATGGTTTAGCGTACTATATTGAATAGGGTCTTCCTTCCGGAGGCTCTAAACCGCATGCTAAGGTACTAAACCAGTGAATAGCCACCTAGTCGAAAATCACAACAATACGCCAATATCCGCGGCGTTCTTAGGGACAGATTTCTAAACGAAAACCTCTTAAACACATTCGCTGTCGGCGTGTCTTCAGTTGAGTGGTTCGTGTCGTTGAACGCCGTATACCTCTTGCCTCGCGGCAGATGTAATGAATCAAACTTGCGTTCAAAGGGTCGCGGAGATGGCCTCAATGGAGGCGTCGATTTGATTCCGTCCATCAGTTTCTGGTGAAGTGTGGGCTCTGTCGGAGGCAATGGATTCAACTGGCGTTCAGCCACTGGTTTAAGCGGTGGTCGCGATCTGATAAAGTCGACCTAGTTTAACGCCCGCAGAAAGAGGTGTGCAAAGCCATCTTGGTGAAAGAAGTCGCTTATGGAGAACCTCAACTACAGTAGGTTTTCGTAGAGTTTACCACAGTTAAGCATGAGAAAAACTAAGGAATTTTCCGACTCTCGCCGATCGATATGACTGAGAGAGACGCCAACCCTTAACTGTCTCATCACTTTCATCCAGAGGTGAGCCCACACTTCCACGTGAATGTTCTCCACCTCTTCATTGTCGATGCGATGACTTTTCTTCAGTTCTTGGGTTCCAATCGTAATCTGATTCAAAAATGTCGACATTTCGATGGCTTCGGCGACCAGTGCTCTGCAGACCTGCCGATAGTGTTCACTGATGTCTGTGCTGTCAATCATACGCTCTCGACATCTGTTCAGCAATTCGTCCAAAAAGTGATGTAAACTTTTTTCGCAGAAACTATCGTTGCAAATGCCCTCGTCGTCCATCTCTTCATCCGTGTCTTCAGTCATTCTCTCAAATGCCTTCTCCAGAGTCTGAGAGATAATTATCTCTTCGTCTTCATCGGCGCCGTAATCCAAGGCCTTATAAATAATGGATCCGATGGACGACACAAGACTGGTTACTGACACGGGCTGTGGTTTTTCTGTTGATATGTCGCGCCACGACTTGACGTCAACTTTGCCATTGTTTTTGATGTATAGTGTGTTTGGCTTAAGGAATGAGTAGTTGTCGTTGGTTTGGATCAGCTCTTCCTTAAGCGCTGCGATGGACTGATGGATGAGAGCCCACGTCTGCTCCTCTTTGGTCCCGCAGTGAAAGGCCCGCAAAATCGCGTCCAACGAAAGACAATTGTCTTCATCTAAGGCACAGATTTCAGGCATTTTCTGAAAGATTTGACACAAATTAATGAATCTATGATTAAAAATATATAGTTATTGACAAAAATAGGCATAAATTTTGGCAAATCATGGGATGAATAGATAGTTATCACGAGTTGAGAGCAACAGAAATAGCGAATAAGATTATAATATAGCAGTTAATCCTTAGCCCAGATGTTTGTGGATTGCATTCAAAGGTAAAGTCAAAGTTTTAGTCCCAAAAAATCCTTAATCCCAGAGAAAGTTCAGAAACTTTTTCGTCAGGTTTTTGAGCGCTCTTTGCATTCAAACTGCAGTTGACGTCAAAATTTTCAGTTAAAATCGGTTTAAACTCACTCTTGACTACAAATGTATTAAATGATAAGCCGTTTGATAACTCGTTGTCCATAACATGGAAATGGCATTCAAATCCGTTTCATCGGAATGTATGCGACAGTTAAATAACTAACACTTATTTATTATAACAATTATTTTTATGGCACAGTATTATACTGTGAGGCAGAAACACATCATATATCATGTATATTCATACCATACCTGGCATTCATTCGTTACCAATTAGTTTAAACGGCTTTTTCTGTCGCTCACAATAGTTGCCACACTTTTGTTGCAATAATAAATAGTTGTTTATTCCGTTCACACAATATATGTCTACTAATTAATGGATATTTAAGAATAGATTAGAAGATATGTATTATAATCATAAGAATTGATTGTTTTCTTTAAAAACAAAATACAATTTTAAAGGAAAAATACATTTATATCAATGAAGACAATGTGTGATTGAAAAGACACTGAAATATAATATAATATTTGATAACAAGTTTTTTATGACTCATTAAACAAATGCAGTAATGAATGGAAATATGAAAAATACGAGTCATTCCTCGATATTATAGCCATTCAATTGTATTCACAATTTGGGTTTTTGTTAAGACTTTTAGTGACTTAACACTGAATTTCTTCAACTAATTGACTCGTTATAAGTGTTTCATTGAATGGAAAAATTGTGATTATTTATCATAAATCAATTTCTATGCATATATTCCTACCATTAGTACGACTTTTATATTAAATAACTTATAATATATTATCGATGAATCATTAAATTCAAAATACT